GCGCTGTAGCTCAAGTGGTAGAGTGCTCGCCTTGAGCTGAAGAGCTGAGGGACAGCGCCCAGGCCCAGAGTTCAAGCCCCACGACCGACAAAAAAACAAAAAAATCTCACAGTCTTTCCTGTCCCAGCTGGCTTTGAACTGTGATCTTAGATCTCACAGGTATGAGCTACTAAGGCCCAGCTTAACTTTTCTCTTTTTAGGCAGATGAATTAGATGATCTCATCGACCTTTGCTTCCATCCATGCCTATTCTTTAACAAAAATGCTACCTTAATTTATCTTTATTAAATAAGCATACCAACATATATAGTTTGAACCCTAGCTCCTTGGTCAATTTACTTAATTTCTCTATGCCCTAGTTTCCTATATCTGATGCCAACACCTACCCCATAGATTTATGAGAATTAAATAAGGGAAAGCATTTACCACAGATGCCTTGTATCATGCCCCTCAAAGTACAATCTACACACCCCTCCAAGAGTCTATGGATTCTTTGAAAAGTAATTTGTAGAATCAAAAACAAAAATAGCCTGTATTTTGCATGTCTGTTTAATGTCATCTTCTACTACTTCACAACAATGAGTACACACAATGGATTAGAAACAAATAAAAACTGGTCCATCTATGAGGTTAAGAGACATGGCTCAGCTGTTAGGGCACCTGTCAATGAGCTTAACGCATCAGATACCAAAGTCATGGTCTTTCACCTCATCCCATCCCCTCTCCCCCCCAAAAAAACCAAGTCTATCATCACAAATAGAGAGTCACTGCTTTAAATAGAAACATTTATAAACTAAATGGCTCTACAATCTATCAGATAAATATTTTACAAAAATAACCTATTTTAATTATTATCAGATTCATTCTACTTATTCCGTTTATTCATTCTACAAATAATTGTGTATGGTATTCTAAGATTGTGCAAGTTACTGGGAATATTAGAAATGAAAGTCTAACCAGGTGCCAGTGGCTCATACTTGTAATCCTCGAAACCCAGGAGGCTGAGATCTGAGGATTACCATTCAAAACCAGCCAAGGCAGGAAATTCTGTGATTCTTATCTCCAAAAAAAAAAGAAAAAGAAAAGCCATCGGGGAGCCAGTGACTCCTGCCTGTAATCCTAGCTACTCAGGAGGCTGAGGGTGATGGTTCAAAGCCAGCAGGGTAGGAAAGTCTCCAATAAACCACCAGAAAACCAGAAGTGTAGCTGTGGCTCAAGTGGTTAGAGCGCAAACCTTGAGGCTGAAGAGCCCAGAGACAGCACCCAAGCCCTACGACCGACCAAAAGACAAAAAAAAAAAAAGGCAGAAGTGGGGCTGTGGCTCAAGTAGTAGAGCACTAGCCTTGAGCACACACACACACACACACACAAAAAAAAAGCTCAGAGACAGCACTTAGGCTCTGAGTTCAAGCTCCCGAACCAAAACAAAGAAAACTGAGGGGCTGGGAAGGTGTTTCGGTGCTAGAGTGCTTGCCTTGCATGCGTGAGGCCCTGCGTTCGATTCCTCACCACCACATAAGCAGAAAAAGCCCGAAGTGGCGCTGGTGCTGTGGTTCAAGTGGTAGAACACTAGCCTTAAGCTGAAGAGCTGAGAGACAGTGCCCAGGCCCAGAGTTCAGGCCCCACAACCAACAAAAAAAAAAGAAGGAGGAGGAGGAAGAGGAGGAAGAGGAGGAAAAGAGGAGGAGGAAAGAAATTTACTCAGCATTAACTTACAAAGAAAAGAATGAAAGCATTGTGCCTCAATTTTTGATCAAAATATTTATTAATATGTTAATATTTTGAAATTACCCAAGTGCATATAACTTAAAGAACTGTGCAGGTGAACACTCAAACATTTTAACAGGTAAGCAAAAAAAAACATATGATTAAAGAAATAAAATACATAAACATTTTTATATTAGCATGATAAAAAACAATAGCAGAGGTGCTGGAAACGTAGCTTAGTGGTAGAATGCCTGCCTAGCATGCATGAAGCCCTGGGTTTGATTGCTCATTACCACATAAACAGAAAAAGCCAGAAGTGGCACTGTGGGGAGTAGGGAGGGAAGTGTTTTCTCCAGACAACTGGAGATTGATTCATGGTTGCCCAGACCTAAAGAAGGGAATGACTGCTAGAGGGTTCCTTGTGGACGATGAAAATGTTCTAAAATCAGTGCTAATTATTGCACAACTGCAAATATACTAAAATCTACTGGATTCTATACTTCTAAAGAGTGAATTATTCTTCATAATCTCACTTTATTGAACTGAAACCCATTTGTACAACTACTTAAAAAACTTGATGGGGAGGTGGCGAGGTGGCCGTAGTATTTTGGTCATTGTAAAAATAATCTTAATTATCAAACTTTAAATATTAAAATGGCAAGCCAGGCGCTGGTGGCTCACGCCTGTAATCCTAGCTACTCAGGAGGCTGAGATCTGAGGATTGCGGTTCAAAGCCAGCCCGGGCAGGAGAGACC